GGGGTGGGGGAGTAGGGTGGATTGTAGGGAAAGGGTGTTGTGATGGTGCCGATCTGTCTTCCTCTAATGGTCCCTTGGTCTGACCCGGGAGAGGCGTAAAAAAGTTATGCAGAGGCCGTAGCCCCCACTGTTTTGCTCGGGCTGCCCAGTTCTTCCATACTAGGACCCCGTTTTCCTTCAGGTCTGCCATCTTGTGGTTAGGGTCCAGCCATATTTCTTTGAAGGCTTCAGTGATTTGTTCTTTCTGCAGTTGGTCTGCAGTCGTGGCCAGGTCCGCTTTAAGCTTTTGGCTAGCCTTAGTTATAATTACTCTCATCACTTCCAGGATCTCCTCCTTGGCTTGGATCAGTCCAAAAGTGTGTTCTTTGTATTCGAACGAGCACCTCATTCTCCATATTGCCATGAGGATGGCTAKGCGGGTGTGCTTAAAAAGGTTGTGTTGGAAGCACGACCAAGACCGCATGTGTTTTTTGTAGTTACCCAGTAAGATGGACCCCACGTCCCAGTGGAAGGGAGAGTTTGTGAGCTTGAACCAGAGCGCGTCCCACCATCTCCATACCTGGATGGCCATCGGACATGCTACTAGACAGTGCTCAAGGTCGGCTTTTCGACGAGGAGTTGAGTGACCACAGTTCGAACAGATTGGGGACATACTAATGAGTAATCAATAGATCAAGCAAGCTGGCTACTTGATTGAGCGGGTCCTCTGAATGAGCGGTCGCTCCGATACCAAACTGTTGCATACCGTAAAGGTGCAGACCAGAACAAGAACCGACCTCTCTCACAAAGTACAAGATAGCGCAGCGGAAAACTTAGATACCAATGTTCCGAACAATCAATATTGCAATGCAGCCCTGAACATACATCATCATCATCATTCCATGGTGTGAAGGGGTCTGGCGCTCACACAGGAAGAATGCGCCAGCCCCAACCATACACAGACGAAGAAGAGGGGGGTTAGACGAAGAAGTGGGGAAGATGGGAATGTCGTCAACACCAAGTCTTCGGCACAGGCCCAAATAGTCCCTCGTCAAAATGTCTGAATCCCAATGTCGAGTCTGGATCCAATGTCGTCAAGTCTCAAGTCACAACTCTCTCTCTCTGTCGATACTGAGAAGTCAGGTGGTGAGAGGGGAAGAAGAGATGGTGGACTTAGAAGAGGAAGAAGAAGAACTCTCTCTCTCCCCCTCTCAGTCCGGTACTAACCTGTGAAGTTGGCGCCTTGATGCAGGTACCTCGAAGATGGAGCTGGAGCTATGGCGCCACAGGTAAGTCTCACTGGCCTCCGCCAGCCATCTCTCCCAAACACTACTACTACCACCTATTAGCGCCCAACGCTGAAGACTACTGCTACTACTAGCGCCCAGAGCTGAAGACTACAGCTAGCGCTAAGCTGCTCCTGCAGCGCTCCTCCTGAGTGCTGCGGCCGAATCCTGAAGACTACTCCTGCCTTCTGTCCAACTACCTACCCGTGAAGTGCATGGGAACTCCCTATGTACTACTCAGCCTGCCTCCTGACTGCAAGGCGAGGCAGTCCAGGAGGCTGCTCTTGCCAATGCCGAAGGGAGTCAGGGGCTGCCGCTGCAGCTCCTGCTGAGGCTGTCGTGGGAACAGGCCAAAAATAGCCTGTTCCCAAAACCCTGGTTTTGTGCCTGAGTGTTAGGGCAGGTTGATCTTATGAGGGCCCGAAAGTGGCCCTCCGTTTCAGGCTGAAAAGCCTTAGGGCTGAAAAGCCCTGTTTTAGGCTGAAAACGAAATAGGGCCTGCAGACCCTCGTTTTTAGTTTTCAGGCTGAAACGACATGGGGCCTGTAAGCCCTTATTTCTAGGCTTTTAGGCTGAGAATGCGGAACGGGCCCTGCAGGCCCGTGTGGCTACACAGTATGCCACATACTCGCTGCCGTTAATGCAAGCTCCTCGCGAATAACGGTCTCGCCACACAACTTGATCCAGACCCGCCCTCACCCAAGCTTTTTTTTTTCCCTTTTTTTTTTTTTTTGTGGGAACATTGCTCCAATCTATTCGTGGGGAGCCGCACATGCTGGGAACCGGGCCCAGCATCCCATTTGAAACATGAAACATGTTTGAGAACATATACAGAAAAACTTTGAGATACCGGGACTCTTACCCGGTTTTGTCTGAAAATAGGATCATGATCAAATCAGATCAATTACTAGCCTATTCGATGAAGAACCCCACGAGATAGGCTAAAATTCAGAAAGGTCTGAAAAAATCTGAAAGAATATGAGGAGAAAAAATATGAGAAGTTTCCTTCTAAACTGCACAAATTCTGAACTTCTTCAGAAAAGATCGCCACCACAACAATCCTACAAATGCTCACAACCCTCAGAATCCCTAGCAATCCCTTCTAAAATTCTTCCAACAGTGTCCTACTCCCTCTCGGGCTCTTCCAGGCCTCATGCCCCCACCCTGTTGGGTTACAGGGCAACACGACTCGCCCCAGCTCTGACCAGCGTCGTCCCAGCAGCAACCCTTAGTCGTCCCCTGGAATGCCCACCCCAAAGCATGCCCAGATCTCTCTACCAGGCCTCACACTCTTGCATCAGCAGGTTACAGGGCAACACCCCAGTACCGGCCAGCGTCGTTCTGGCATCGGAGAGCCGCAGATCACTGAGTATAACAGCAATGGAGCCTCCTAAAATGAGTTGCTAGGAGTCCCCAGAATCACAAATCATTTGTAAGACCACCATTGACGACCATGTTTTTTTAGAACTATTGAAGAAAAAGGAACTACTCATGCAGTAGGCTGCCACAGAGGTCCTACGAATGCTCACAACCCTCATAATTCCTAACAAGCCCTTCTAAGACTTTCCAACACAGTCTTACTCCCTGCTGAGCTCTTCCAGGCCTCACGCCCCCACCCTGCTGGGTTATAGAGCAACACAACTCACCCCAGCTCCGACCAGCGTCGTGAGTTTTGAGTCTGCCCCTGACTCTTCTGTCGACCGCCCTTGTCGCGGCCAGTTGCCTTAAATTTTACTAAGCGAGGTTGCTACCCTCAACACTATCCTCACTTCCAAACTTTGTTTCGTCCACAAGGTCGAAAACATCGTCGATCTCGGTTTGATTATCGTCGGAGTCTTCCACTCTTGTGGACTCTTCTTCTTTCTCCCATCCATCGAGGGTTGTTAGGCTCCTCCTAGCCTAGCCTCTAAGTCCAAGGCCTTCTTCCTAAAAGAGTCCAGAGTGTGATATTCGATGTTGGCCTTTCTGACCAGCAAGGTTTTGACGTCTGTGGGAAGACATCTCAAGAATATGGTCATTAAGACCTGGGGATCGTAGCGCACCCCTGGGACGACAGTGAGACGCTCCATGGCAGAGGTAAGTTCTCGCGCAGACTTGTACTTTTTAGTATCAAGCCGGGTCAACGCGTCAGTGGCCTGCTGGGCCTACTGAGGGTTGTGCCATCGAGTTTCTACCAACTCCATGAAGCTCATCTAAACTATGGGTATTAGCCTCATCGTTCATTCGCCTGCCGAACCCTTTCGAGGCTACCAATCCATCTAGCCATCGGGCTGCCAATCCCTCAAGATACCAGGCGGCAGTGATCACCTCTTCCTTGAGCAGCGTCCTCTTCTCCCTCACCCACACTGGCACCATTCTCAAACAAGTGTCGAGAAACTCATCCTTCTTATCACCCGAGAGGGTTGAGGGTGGTTTCAGTGGAGTCTTGGGGTACCAAGGCTGCTGTTGTCCGGTAGTGGGACCAGCTGTTGTGTAACGGCAACCGCTGGACCTGAAGATGAAGCAGCAGCAGGCTGTGTTGCCGCTATCGAAGTACCGCTCGGTGAAGCACAGACATAGAGGGACCTGTCATCACCAGTGAGGAGATCGATGATGGAAAAGTTGGGGGCCGAAAGTCAGGCCCGCC